CTAGATACATATATATGGGGAGGTACAAGTTCCAACTCGGTTTTACAGTGAAAACTGCAGGAATATCTAAACGGCACTAGGAAACACACTGAGAAGCCAGAGGAAGTGTTTCTCCTGCAACCTTTTACCGTTGTGCTAAATGAACAAACATCTCTCCACTTGCTGATTTCTGAGATTTTATCATGTGTGAAAGCCGTACTTCGCCCAGCTTGTTGGGAACACAAAGATTCTTTTCAGTTTCAAATACCACTCCATACATATATATTGCTGGGTACAAGCTCCAACACGATTTTACAGTGAAAACTGCAGGAAATTTAAACTGGCACTAGGAAACACACTGAGAAACCTGAGTAATTGTTTCTCCTGTAACCCGTTCCCTTTGATCTAGATGAACGAACGTCTCTCCATATGCTTAGTTCTGAGAGTGAAGCGTGTGTGAAAGCCTTCCTTCACCTAGCTTGTTGGGAACACAATGTTTCTCTTCAGTTGCAAACACCACGCCATAAATATATATGGAGGTTCAACCTCCAACTCGGTTTAAAGTGAAAACTGCAGGAACTTAAAACTGGCACTTGAAATTACACTGAGAATCCAGAGAAAGTGTTTCTCCTGCAAACCATTCCCTTTGTGCTAGATGAACGAACGGCTCTCCACAAGCTCAGTTCTGAGAGTTAAGCGTGTGTGACAGCCTTCCTTCACCTAGCTTCTTGGGAACACAACGTTTCTCTTCATTTGCAAACTAAATTCCATACATATATATGGGGAGGTATAAGCTCGAAATCGGTTTTACAGTGAAAAGTGCTGGAAGTTCCAACCAGCACTAGAAAATACACTGAGAAACCAGAGGAAGTGTTTCCACTGCAACCTGCTTCCTTTGTGCTAGTAGAACGAACGTTTCTCCAAATGCTCAGTTATGAGATTTAAGCGTGTGTGAAAGATGTCCTTCACCTAGCTTGTTGGGAACACAAAGTTTCTTTTCAGTTGCAGCCCCCAATCCATAAATAAATATGGGGATCTACAAGCTCCAACTCGGGTTTATAGTGAAAACTGCAGGAACTTCAAACCGGCATTAGGAAACACACTGAAAAACCAGAGTAAGTGTTTCTCCTGCAACCCGTTCCCTTTGTGCTAGATGAAGGAACACCTCTCCAAATGCTCAGCTCTGATAGATAATCGTGTGTGAAAGCCCTACTTCACCTAGCTTGTAGGGAACACAAAGTTTCTCTTTAGTTGCAGACTCCACTCCATACATATATATGGGGAAGTACAAGCTCCAACTCGGTATTACAGTGAAAGTGGACAAACATCCAACTGGCACTAGGAAACACAC